GCTGGTCTTGTTTCCTCAGACTGGAAGCCTCTGTGTCCTCATATCTGAATGGCTCTCAGCTGAACTGCTGCTAGAAGCCTGAAAGCTTAACCAGCCAAATGCTTCTAGTTTCTGGTCCTCACGCCTTATATACCTTTCTGCTTTCTACCACCACTCCCTGGGATTAAAGGCTCGCTTTCTGGAATTAAAGGAGTGAGTCACCATGCTTGGCTATATCCTTGAACACATGGATTTCTGCCTCTGGAATGCTAGGATTAAAGGCATGTGCTACCACTGCCTATCCTCTATGTTTAATATTGTGGCTGTTCTGTCTCTGACCCCAGAGAAGTTTATTAGGGTGCACAATATTTTGGGGAACACAATATCACCACAGAAGGGACTTGGAAATTTAATGTTTGTTAAGCTTCAACCTGCTGTGTCTTAAATGTAGACTTCAGATTCAGGAGATCTGGGTAGAAATTAAAAATACATATTTCTAATTGCTAGTGGTGTTTGATGATGTTTTAACAATTGATCCAGTACTGTGGAGATAGATCATTAGGTAATAACTCCTACTCTACAAGCATGAAGATCCGAGTTTGAATCCCTACCTCTGGCATAACAATCCAGGCATGTGCTGTAATCCCAGCCTTAGGGAAGAGAAACAGGTAGTACAGAGGGCTCACTGACCAGCAAGACTAACTACAATGAGAAGTTTTCATTCAACCAGAGACCCTGCTTAAAGGCTGTAAGGTGGAGAGCAATAGAGATAGACACTGGACATTCTGATACTCACAATAGTACATTCACACACACACACACACACACACACACACACACACACACACACACACACACACCTATGTATGTGAATAGATTGTTTTCCAAATAAATCATTTCACAATTGTTAGACATATAGTTACTAGGCAAAGTGAATTATTAAAATAAGTAATATGTACTAAAAAAACAAACAACTCAATATGAGTAAGCTATAATAAATATCTCTGCTAACTCCCCATGGGAGATCTTGCCTTGGAGGAGGTGGGAATGTGGGGTAGGTTGAGGGGGAAGGCTGGGGGGCTGGAGGAGGAAGGACAGGGGAATCTGTGGTTGATATGCAAAATGAATAGAAAAATCTCTTAATAAAAAAGGGAGGAAAATAAATAAATATATAAATATCCATATAATGTTGGATCAATAAAATAAGAAGTCATTCAACTGAATACCATCTTAAGTTAATAATCTGAAGTACAGAAAAAGTGACCTTTGAAAGAAAATGTAACTATATTCAACCAAGACAATAAAATTTTTATGCATAATGCTCTCCTGTAGCTGTGTCAATTTTACATTCCATAAATGGACAAAGAGCAGATATTTTCCTTAAGCATGTAGGCTTTACAAATAGGCATTGATTTGCTCCACCAAGTAAAGTAATACACTTTTCTGTTGCATTTCACATGCCTGAGAAGCATGGCAAGGAATAAGACATGTAAAGTATGATATGCTTCAAGGTTACAGTTTTAATGTTTTGAGCAGTTGGGCACCATTGCATTATGGAATAAAAGCAGAGTTGACTAAAGGAAGAATGAAACCATGATTGGGCCAGCATTAATCACACATCTGTGGTTACATATTAGTGAGTGTAAGAGTCTTGGAAGCCAACCCTTGGTTTATTTTTTTTCTAATGTTGAATGTTTTCAGACTCACTGGACTGCAGACTATATTCCACAAAACTTTGTCTAAAATTAAAGGACACAATGAAACAGGAGAAAGACAATGTTAACAAGAACACAAAATCCAAGAGCCCCTCCAGAGCATAAATTCTCCATAGGCCCAACTTTTGATAACCGAGGCTTGCTGAGTTTCTGGCTTGCTGAGTTTCTGGCAGCTTAAATGCCAAAGAGCCATCTCCTGGGGTTAGGTATGCAACTCTAGTATGGATGTTACAATCAAGATTATCTCACAGAATTCCAAACTTTTTTTTCCCAAGGAAATTTCCAGAAATAAAGACAGATTCTAATCTAGCTACCTTCATTATCGTGCATAGAGTCTGATAGAGAAGTCACTGAAACGTCTGTGCCCCAACAGCTTAGAGGAGGAAGAAGAACAAATCCCAAATCCTTTGAAGGAGGCTACCAGAGAATATACAAGTTTGATGTCTCCATCAAAATTTAATGAATATTTTCCTCAACTATTAATCAGTTATACACAATGGCAGTGAAGAGTTGACACATAAGATCAAAATGTTATGTCATGTTGCTTCAGAAGGGTGGATGCAGGTTTCTTGGCTTTAAACACTTCAAATAGGCGGCTTCTCCTCCTCCTCCTCCTCCTCCTCCTCCTCCTCCTCCTCCTCCTCCTCCTCCTCCTCTTCCTCCTCCTCCTTCTCCTCCTCCTCCGTCTTTTTCAATGAAAAATGGTATAGTTATTGAATGAAGAAATTTTTTGTGACAAATTGGTATTTCAGTTCAGGGTAATAATTGATAAAACAATCTCTGGATAAACTATTAAAGGATTTCCTGTTATATGTAGGAAAATAGTGAAAGACTGTAGTTACTTGATACTTAAAATTTCTCAGTTAGTGAGGCTTGCCATCAATCACCAATTGCAGGTTCAGTAACTGTGTGTACCCAATAAAGAGACATAGACCAGGACTCTGTCATCAGAAAAAGATACAAAACATATCATTTGTGTTTTAGTTAATGAAAGAATCATCTCAGTAACATTACCCTATGTAAAAACCTAAATTTTTTATATTGATTCTATCATCATTGCAGCGAAAATAATTTACTATTTTGGAGCCACATATGGTGGCACATGCCATTAATCCAAGCACTTGAGAGACAGAAAGAGGTGGATATCTGTGAGTTCAAAATAGGGCTGGTCAAACCAGTCCAGGACTGCAGTGACCCTGTTTTAATAGATATAGAGATAGATATAGATAGATAAATAGAGATAGATATTAATAGATAAATATGGATGCATAGATAGAGTATACAAACTATAGTATTTTTGAATGTCTGCATTAAGAACACTTGGAGAATGCCTCCCCAAGTTTAATGTATATATGAACCATAGAAGAACTATTCTTAAAGATATGGATTCGATACTGTAATTCTCTCTTCCAATAGTCTCTCAAATATTTGTGTTCTTATGCTCCTATTTGATGAGCTGAGTAGTTATCTTAGCAGAATTTTACATGTGCTTATGCAAAAATAAAAGACACTTGAGTGAAGACATCTCTAGGATTACATGCAATCATTAGCTTTTCCCAAAGCTTCTCCTCCTTAGGCCTTAGAAACAATTTTTAGAATTAGTCCCTTAAATGAAATCGAATATCTGTTAAACTCTGCCTATAAAAATTCTGTAGAACTAGCCTCCTACTGATATTCTCCTCCAGCAATCTTTGTCACTTAAGAAAGTATGGTCTTCAAAGAATAATCAAGTTTTTTGCCTCTAGATTCAAATTTTAAGTAGGTTCAGATCTTAGTCAGAGGTTTAAGACTCTTTGTGCTAGGAAAAGTTACTAGACTCCGCTTTCAAATGTCAACCAAGAGTGTCTTGAGTTCTTCCACAACTCAACTAGTAAAGCCTAGAGCCCACCCCACCTCATTTTACTCTGGCCTATCAAAAGCCCTTCAGGTGCCTGCCCTGAAAAACTTTCTCCCAGAGTTTGGGGAAGGCACTACAAGCAGCAGGAATTCTAATCTTAGGAATATCAAATGAATCTACTTATCTGAGGGTATATCAATAAATCTATGCACACTATGATCTTTCAGTCCATCACTTTATTGTTCTAAGTAGCTTAAACTCTGCCCCAGATGTCTCTGCTGTTCTTTTTTCTACTGCTCCTCTAAATCTACATCTTCTTGTCAGCTTCATTCTTAGCTCCTCTCTTGCCTGACTCCTTTTATTTCTGGCAGGAGACTCCTTGCAATCCGCAGAAAAATTTTAAAACCCTCAAGGTCATAGCATATTCGTAGAATAGAGGACAAGGAGCCATTACCATAGTAGCACAAGGTTCCAAGGTCTCAGGACCAGAGCAGAAGGTGCAGTGAGACAAACTCTGAGACTTTGCTTTTTATCAGCAGACTTGGGCAAGTGAAGAATAAGGAGGCTGTTCTTCGGGTGTTTTGTGTTAGAAGCCTTGGTGAGACACCTGTGACTCTGACTTTGTGCATAACTGTATAGTTTTAAGCTTATGATCTATATACAAAGGCCTTTACTCTAGTTTGGACTTGCTCTGAAGTAAAAATGAGCCAAATGTGTGCAGTTTCTGTTAGACTGAGGAGAGATTATTATTTTCTGTGTTAGTCTGAGCAAAAGGAACAAAGCAGACTTTAAGTGTCTACAGTTACATGGGACAATGGATCTGGCTATGAAGCATATCCCAGTATATTTTCTATATATCAAAATGATACAGCTGAATGAAAAGCCATCTTCCTGACCACCCACAGATATATGTGCCCATAAGATTGAGATGTAATCATGAGATTACACACACACATTTTATGAAAATGCATGGTAATGGGGAGACATTATAGCTGTAATTGCATAAGAAGTTTACAACAAGAAACAGCCAATTCCTTCAAAAGGCAATAACTCCAACATGCCTTGTGTGATGGCTTAGTCCTCTACCAGAGCCCTTGGTTCTGATAGGTTGACCTTTTGAACAATAGTTGTCCCCTGCTGTATACTCCCACGGCCTTTTGCTACCAGCTGCTCTTAATACTGGCCCCATCATTTCTGTTTCAGAGCTACAGTTCAAAATTCACCCTGAGCTCCTGTCATGCCTTTTCTCCACATCTCATTCTTTTCAGGATATGGTCACCCACATAAAATGCTTTATACAGTATGACACCCATAAGCACATTAGACCTTGGTGCTCTAGTTCCTGCCTCAGCAAGGATTTACTCTTTTTATTACAGAGTATTCCAGTGTTATTGAATATGGTGTAACAGCACACAGGATGACTTTTAGCATGGCCTAACAGTGTTTTCTATTTTCTCCTTCGTTTATAGTATAAGCAAGTGGAACAATACATGTCATTCCATAAGTTGCCAGCTGACATGCGCCAGAAGATACATGACTACTATGAACACCGATACCAAGGCAAGATCTTTGATGAGGAAAATATTCTCAATGAACTTAATGATCCCCTGAGAGAGGTAAGATTTACTGTCCTTGATATGAGTGACACACTATTATCAATTATTTCTATTCTTCTAGGCAGTCCTTTAGTCTGCGTTGTAACTTACTTAAAAGCATAATCAGAACTACATGCTAATACATCAGTTGTTGCCTTTATTCATCTTTTTGTTTCTTCCCTAAGAGACTTCTAATCATTTCAAAAAGAATATCAGAGAATTATTCCTTTATGACTCTTATTCCATTTAATGTATTCATGACTCTCAAAAGTACATTCGGTAGCTTCATTGTCCCCATGTTCCCAACATCCCATTCTTTTATGCTGTCCTTTTTTTGGTTTGAATTTTTGACAGTTTATCCTTGCCTTCATACATTTTCTCGCTCATCCTTGGAAACCGGATCAGGAGATCCTAGCCTGCTTCCAGTAAATCAGCTCTTGGCATCTCACTAAGATGTTTTTGCAACACCAACAGGCACTCTTTGCCATGCACCCTCTTCTCATCTCTTCCACAAACCCTCCCCTCTGCTACCAGTCACTTCACTCCTAAACCCAAAGTGGATGCTCTTGATTCCCTCATCTAAAAGGGCTTGGCTCTCAACTTCTCTTATTACTAAATCTCTTATAGATTTTCTGTGCAATGATTACATTGTGGTGTGATCATCAAGTATTTACCACACCTTGTAGCCCTGGAAAGTTATCAAAGCCATACTGGTAATGAGTCCTTCTCTACACTGTTGAGAGCGCTTTGTTACTCTGCTAACAAGACACAAACCCTGATTCCCCTGCTGAGGCTCTTTACACGGAAGCATTAACTGAAGCTCTGGGGTTTCATTCCTTGCCTCTGAACTTGTTTTCTTTCATTTATTTTATTACGCGTTTTTAGTCTAAGAGTTTTAATTCAAATTCTTTTTCATGAATTTCCTTTTCTTAAAAGCTTTACGATATCCCCTGGCACCATGTAAGTTATGTAATGAAGTCATTATCTTCCATCAGTGAAACACTCAACTCTTGGAATCTTTCTGAAATTTTTAGTTATTCTTTCAGGTCACTTTGAATATAAAATTTGAGATCTATTTTAGACCTTTTTTTTTTCAACTTGTGCACATCCTGTCTCTAATTTACATTCATAGTACATCTCACATGCATGCCTTACCCTCTTGCCCACTGCCACAATCTGAAATTTGCACTTCTTAGTTTTCTTTAGGCTTGAGTCTACTTTCTCTTTATTGCCCTTAAAACAACACAGACAGTACTAATTTTCTTATGTACATGAGCTATCATTTCTCTGCTCAGAAAAATTTTGATAGTTAGGTTATGAGTTCAATCTTTCTGCACTCTGATTCCAGCTACCTTTGTAGTTTTTCATTTCTGCTATCGTCTTGCAAAGTGATCTGTAGCCAAGGGGAACAACTTGCTGTCTTGCATCAACATCAATGATAATAATTTCTCACTCTACATAGTATGTTTTCCAGAAATGATGCTCGTCTTTTGATAATCTAGTTCCAGTAATACTTCATCACTCCCTTCTTTGATACAAGGCTAAATCTAGTATTTCTTTCCCATGAACCCAAGAGCACTTTCCTATTGCTTTTTTATTTTTCTCCTCGTTTGCCTTGAAATTTCTTTAACCATAAGTGTTCTTTTGTCTATATTTTAGTTTTTTTCCCCTTTGTTAAAATTCTTCACACATTTAACATAAATTAAGCAACAAAATATTTTCATTTTAACTTTTCTCTTTTATAACCATCTCTACACTACAGTTGTTACATCCTCTAAAATTTATTTGTATTGTGAAAAGCTATAAAATGTGTGAAAGAGTTCTAAAAATAAAATAAATATCAGCTATTATGTTGTTATAACTTGTTTTTTTTCTGCTTCTCAATAGAATTAGAATGTATAACTCTTTGGGCTTTGTAAAATATAACTCAAATGTATTTTGTATTTTTACTATTTAAGAAAAGCATTCCATTTATTTTGTTTCTTAAACTGCCAATTGTCTTTGCTGGAACACTTTCCTTTTACCTCTTTTCATATCCAAATCTCAAGACAATTGAGTCAGTTTAAGTCAGTTTCAATGGTCTCAAGAAGTTCAGAGATGACCCAGGCCGGGTCACAGGACAGAGACAAAGGCACTCCAAGAAACAGTGACAGAGGCAAAGAGAAAGTTCAAAGAGAGGAAGGTAAGCTACACCTCAGGCTTTAATGCACAAAGGCCAGAGAAAGGTAGGATCACAGCCTAAGATGTCATGAAATAGTGCAAAAAGCTAACAGAGCAAGTGCAAAATGTACTTTAAGAAATTTCGCCCTATGTGTCATAGTCCATTGTAATGAAAACGAAAGAAAAAAAAACTCAATGTGTTGTGAAATGACTAGAGATTTTCTGGATGTGATGCTCTGTGTGCTTCGCTCTGGTCATATCATGATTTATACTGATCTTCAGTGAAAAAAGAGTCCAGTATTCACTTTTATCTGTATCACCATCAACGTCCCATTTCATTACTTCTTACAATCAATTTACCACCTGGTTGTCACCTTTTTTTTTTTTTTTTTTTTTTTTTTAGTTATTGAAATGCCATCTTCTCAGGTTCTTGACATCTTTTGCCTCAACTTTTAAGTGCAATAAAAACTTTTTCTTGGGCTTTCCATTGGCAGCTCAAATGTAACTCGTAATTGGACTGCCACGTTGACTAACAGATGGTGTCATGCTTTTCTTAGAATTCAAACATGAATTGCATCTTCTGAAGGAAGTACAGCCTCCTTACCATGTCAAAGGAAACTATGGCAGTGCTTCTCAACCTTCCCAAATCTGTGACCCTTTAATACAGTTCCTTATGTTGTACAGATCCCCCAACTATAAAATCATTTTGTTGCTACTTCATAACTGTAAGTTTGCTACTATTATGAATCATAATGTAAATATATGATATGCAGAATATCTGGCATGGGATCCTTAGAAGGGTTGCAACCCATGGGTTGAGAACCACTGCTTTATGGGCTGTTTTTATCTTTATATCTTTATGTTAATTCTTCACCATTAAGAAATTATTGATAAATTTCTTTTAAAAAGTTCTGATTGTCTCTTTTTTTTTTCATGCTGTTCTTTCCTCAATCTTTCCTACTCATTTTAGTTTTCCTTCCATTGGTTATTCTTATCAGACATTGCTTTCTCCACATATTTTACCGTTACTACTTTGTCTCCATACAGTGATCATCATTTGTGATTTTATTGTCTCTTTTATGCCTGCAAGGCTTTTGAGACTAGAACCTTTGCCACAATTACATTTGTATCTCCAATGAAGAGTATGTACCAGTAAATCATAGAATGATTACGGAGTTAGATGATCTTTATTATAATCGTGAATAAAAACTAGATTCGGAATCATGCCTGCTTGATAAAATTAGGTTTCCTAGAAACAGCATTTGCCATCCTTATAAAATGAAAACTTTTCTTTCCTCTGACATTAGAATAACACAAAAATCTGTCCTTAATGTTGTAATGACTATTTGAAGGATAAGTGGAAGAGGCTAAGCATGGAGAAACAATAACTGTCCTAGTTAGCCTGGCATATCAATTTGACAGATTAGGGTCATCTGAGAGGAAAACTTCCGTTGAGGAATTGTCTACATCAGACAAGCCTGTGGGCATGACTGTTGGCATTTGTCTTGTCAAGTGATATAAGCTGACCATGTCCACTGTGGGAAGTCACATCCCTATGCAAATACTCCTTAGCATGAGCCTGGGCGTGAGCCAACAAGCCACGTTTCTTCTTCAAGTATCTGCTTGAATTCCCTGAATGATGGGCTGTGACTTGAAAGTACAAACCAAATAAACCCTTTTGTCCCCAAGTCCCTTTTAGGTCAGAGTATTTTATCATAACCATAGAAATCAAACTAGAACAATAGCATTAGTCATGACTGAAATAAGATTTGAATCTAAAACAATGTTCAGTCATAGCAGAAATTAAGTGATTTATCTTTGTCATATGTTAGAGACTACTTGCTGAAACCTTTAACAAATAATTGGCTCATGCATATTGCTCAAGTCTCGATATTAATGTTAATTTATCAAAGAATCCGTCCCAGGGCAATTCATCCAGATCAACTCCTCTGTAACTACTCCCCTTCACATTTGTTGTGTGCACATCATGTGCCTTGCTTTCTCCTAATGTTTACTTGCGTGCTCTCTGTTCTGTCACACAATGAGTTTTCGAAAAAGGACCTTGTCTCTCTTGATTCCCTCACCCCCCCCCAATCCTACACATAACTTATATTAATTAATTATTCAGTAAATGCGTACAAATAAATGTGGACCACATACCTGGCAACTCATCTCAGAGAATCGTTGATTGTCAGTGTAGCTGGAGAATTTTGTCTATAAGACAGTGGCATTTGGAGTGAGAACAGCACTTCTTGGCATGGCGAGCTTCATTCTTACAGCTTAGTATCATTGTATATTTTTCTATGGCCAATATACTCTTCCTCACTATTTGCAAAAATATGCTACTGTGTGTATTCATTTGTAATTGTGTTGCAATATATGCACTGTATGACAGGTAGTTCTGTTTTATTTGCAGCCATTTTATATTCTAACTTTCAATGTGCTGTGGGTTAGTTGTTTAACAGAGTTAAGGAATAGGAGAAGGGAGTGACTGTCAATGGAGCACATTAGGGAAGGTATATGAATATTTGCCGGGGATCAGCCTCAGCAGTTTCGGGGGGTCTGAGGGATGGGATACCTGGAAGGCTCAATAATGACTCAGAGACAATGTTCGTGTGAGCTGACAGGTCACTTGGGGCTCCTGCAGTTAAGTTTCTTTTGCTTCCCTGGCTTCTCTTAGTTTCTCTAACTTCTCTTAGCTTCTCTTAGTTTTTCTTAGCTTCTCATAGCTTTTCTAACTTCTCTTAGTTTCTCTTTGCTTTTCTAACTTCTCTTAGTTTTTCTTAGTTTCTCTTAGCTTCTCTAGCTTCTCTTAGCTTTTGCTACAGCTTCATTAGCTTCTGTTATTGCCCTGGTGATCT